TATTTTAATAAAATAAAATAATAAAGTACCGTGATTTATTATTTTATTTTATTTCTATTATTACTTTTATTAATTTAAATTTTATTATTTTTTACCTACATGGTGACTTTACCGAAAAAACCTAAGAGTATGAATCCTTGCAGTCACGAAAGCTACAAATCTAGAACGGAATTGATAGCTTGAAAGCATTTAGCGCGGGGCCTTTGAAAGTGCGAAGTCCGTAGCATTTGTAGCTACTTTTGCTTGCCCGGCACTGGCGTATAGCATCGCGTGACAAAGATTCCTCGTTGGAGAGAAAGAGAGACACAAATATGGTAAAGTCGTCATCGAGAGTCTTCTTCTTTTGTTCGTGGTATGGCAGTTGCCACCGATGGCAGGATGGCCACCTGTCTGCGTTTGACCGGGGCAGTCTCGGAGTTGGCATCTGCGTTCGAGGGTAGGAATCGATTTGCACCGAGGTCTGGTTACCGGCATTGTTGGTGAACGTTTCTTTACGGTAAACTGTAAAGTATTTTTTGTAAATGTTGTGGGTTTACTCTCCCACACACCGGTGTGCTGAACGAGTAACTTTATTTTATTTTATTATTTCCCTTCTACGTGACTTTACCGAAAGAACCAAGAATATGAGTAACTAATTGACACGTTTTGTTTACGTGACAAACCTTAACAATTGGCTGTCTGGTGGTGGCGGGTTTAACGACACAAAATAAATCTCTATTATGGATAATATTGGTCACGAAAGCCTACTGCGTGTTAAACTGCAAAGTCTTCATAGACATTATGTTAACTAAGAAATATGTCCGGGTTTGGTCTGAAGTGGAAAAGGTGATGACCCCATGCTGGTGGCAGATACACAGCAAATATATTCTCTGTAATTCTTCTGCAGAGTGCAGAATTTTTTTAATGTTGAAATTTGAAAACATTTCAAGGCAAAGCCAGCACAGCACTTAAATATATTTTTTTATCGAAAGACCCAAACTTGCGCACACTGTATGTGAAAGATCTAAATGTTTCGATTTAAAGCTTTCGTGACTGCAGGGATTCATCTTCTTGGTTCTTTCGGTAAAGTCACGTAGAAGGGAAGTAATAAAATAATAAAAATAAAACATCATTAAATAATTCTCACGACGTTTCGGCCACAACGGCTGCTTGCGTTGTGGCCGAAACGTCGTGAGAATTATTTTATCATGTTTTATTTTTATTATTTTGTTACTTCCCTTTTACGTGACTTTACCGAAAGAACCAAGAAGAAAGATTTAAATGTGTATTTGTATGTATGTTGAACTTTATTCGCGCCGTACGCAGCCAACCACGCCAATCGACATCTACAGCATAAATAAATCATTCTCACTCGCTATGAAACGTGAGCACCATGCCCCTTGTCCACAACGGAGCGGACTACGGCTCCACTTACCACCTCAAGCAAGCAAGACCAGTCGCGTATTTACTGACGCTTTCCAAAGTGCGCGTTTGTCATTGTAAATATCTGACTGGCGAGGAAGCTGACGATGAGGATTGACGTCTTACGCCCCCGCTCCTGATCCACTGTTTGACCCTCGTGGCCGATAGAGACGGGCGTGGAACAAAGTTTGAATGTCAAATGCGATCAAGGCTGTGTGAACACGTGAAGCGAAACTCACTAGAATTTGTTTTCAAGCAGAATTACGCGGAACAAAATACCTTGAGGACTTTTTTGAACTGATTTTTTGTAACGACTGAGCTGGATCCATAAAAGTAGTTTGAGGCACATTCATCTGAGCAAAAAAAAAACATTACCAGCTCATCTTCATGCTGGTGTGCATATTTGATGTTTGTCAAGGGCTAATGCGAATGCTTTCATCTCATATGGTGTTCGACCAGATGACGCCAAAAGGCGCACAGTTCAAAGACAACGCACTGTCAGAGTAATGAGAGCTCGGGGTGAGCAGCTACATCATGGGACCTCCTTTGCCAGTACCAAAATATACTAATAGGGTTTTTTCCCCCCTTTTTTCTGGCAACAAAACTGACACCTTTTGCAAGGAATCATGTTTACATTAACCACAATACTTGCAGTCAAATGCAAACAAAAAACAATACTCTGATAATTTATGCATTGTCCTTGAAACGGATTGCTCCACACTAGAGACAGCTTTCTTTAGAGCCTAGTGCTCTGATAAAAAAGTAGAAATATATCAAGAGCGCTTCAGTCATCACCTGCTGAATGAGGGCCTCCCCATGGCCATGCGTGTGGTTGGGGAGGGAACGAGGGGACGGGTTATTTGACCATACTTCACCGAATTGCGTTCGTGCGTGTTCGTGAAAGCGGAGTGCAGAGGTCAGGGGTCGGCATCCTGCGGTGGCTCTTTAACGACGGCTCCGTGACGTCATTTATTAATGACCGTCTCGCATTCACCGGAGGGCATTGCGGCTCTTTAAATATTGAATGTTTTTTATGACCGAATTGGAAAGAAATAGCGATAATTGTTTTGGCTGCCGACCCCGGGTATCGTACAATCTTGATAAACCACCGCTCCCCTTACACACAAAGACAAAGATCCCCCGTATAGCCTTAGCATACTGTAGGGGCAAGTGCTGTTAGCGAGCATCTATAAAGGCCGGCACGGCACACAAGGGGGTGGGTGGCCAACACCACGCCCGGCCGCCTTTGTCTCCCCAGTGGCGATGTTGACACACCGCACCAGGTAATAATTTGAGACTGAGGCGACCTAGGGGAGGCCCAGGACTGGTTCAGATAACCGTCACTGGTGTTGGCCGTGAGTGGGAATCGTTACCTGGGTCGCCAGGTTCGTAGCGGAGCGCGCTAACCACTATACTACCGCTCTCCTTAAACACACACGCACACACGTGCGCGCAGAAAATCACTGCTTAAAATGGAATTTGAGTTGAGATTCAGTGAGTCGTTATGAACGTTACACTTTTTTTGTGAGAATGCATAACACAATCCAAACCTTCACGTGAAAAACCACACTTCTTCGACAAGCCACCGGCAAGCACACGTCCGGCGCGTTTGCGATACTGCGTTGGCAGTGGTGCACGGGAACAGATTACAAACAAAAACCCCATCACATTCGTCAATAACGCAACCTGAAAAATAAAAAAAACATAATTGGGGACGTTTTGGGCAACGGCCCTTCGCCATGGCAGAGATGTAGATTTTTGTATATATGTATGTTGAACTTCTTTCGCACCGTACGTAGCCAACCGTGCTAATCGGAGGTGCGGGACAGATGGGCCTTTGCCCGAAACATCAGCAAGCGGTGACTGATTGCAATGCTTAGCTACGGGATTAGAATGCGGATATGGCACCCTCTGTTGATGAGACTCAAAAAGGTGACGCTGCATCATGGGACCTCCTTTGCCAGTACCAAAATATACTAATAGGGGTTTTCCTCTTTTTTCTGGCGTCATCTGGTCGAACACCATATGAGACTAGGCTCCAAAGAAAGCTGTCTCTGGTGTGGAACAATCCGTTTCAAAGACAATGCATAAATTATCAGAGTATTGTTTTTTGTTTGCATTTGACTGCAAGTATTGTGGTTAATGTAAGCATGATTCCTTGCAAAAGGTGTCAGTTTTGTTGCCAGAAAAAAGGGGAAAAACCCTATTAGTAAGGTGACGCTGGTTATCTCTGGAATTCCGTCCTCCTGTCTGTCCACAATGCAGACCTTACTCCTCTGCTCAGGGCTAGAGTCAAGACTGCTCTTTCCCTCTACCCATAATTGATCCTTTGCATCTGTCCTGACGTCTCAATCCATACTGAATTCCACTTTACCCCACACATTCATCCCTCTAACTCCCCATTTCTCCGAGAAATAAAATGCCCTCCTCTTCTGCACAATCTCACAAGGTGTGGGTGTTTCTCGCGAGATGCGGTCACGTTTAGAGGCGTTGTAAATTTCCAGTGGCACTGTAATTGAATCGTAATGACTTCACTTGGCTTTGGGAGTCCTGTCAATAGCTCTGGCGAACGTCCATCAATAATAACCCCGTCAATAAACCCATCGCCGTGAGAGGAAGCGATCTTAATGTCAGGTCAAGATCGAAGGATCTCCCCGCTCAAATGAGCAATGGCGACGATGGTGGCAGTGACAGCGGTGATGGTGGTCTACCCATGTACCCATTGGGGGGGGGGGACACGTGACGGTGGAGTAGCGACTCGGGGTTCGACTCCCGCTCACGGCCTACACCTATCCCCTAGGTCGACTCAGCCTCAAATTAGTACCTGGTGCGGTGCGTAAACATCGCCACTGGGAAGACAAAGGCGGCCGGGCATGGTGCTGGCCACCCATCCCCTCGTGTGCAGTGCCGGCCTTCATAGGTGCTCGCTAACAGGACTTTCCCGAACAGTCTGTTAAGGCTATACGGGGGAGCTGTGTCTTTGTGTTCCCATTTATACAGCTGAGATATGGAATGACTCGTCCCCGTCACAGGAACGTGGAATTTTCACCGGTGGGCCAGGGCTTCAATGCTCGGTTTAAGTCGAGACACCGATTAAACACGTGCTGCTGGAAGGACAAAGGCGGGTGGATTTAAGAAAGGTTGGCCATAGGTTTTAACTGCCTAACCCAGAGATCGAACCAAAGCAGCTACCTCTGGATTGCAGCAAGGCAAGTCCGGAGTGATGACCATTACACACCTGCGGCAGTAAGTCCACCACTTTCATGGTGACGTTACATAAATTCAAATTGCACATCGCATTTCCCGTGTAACTATAACATTAACCCCACGTGGCCCCATTCCGTTCCATATGACCACAAATGCCAAATCCCCCCCCCCAATCTCTCCCCCCCCAGGCCCCCCACACTCCACCTCCTCCCGTCAACCGTGTGGTTATGAATCCCACGGTATGGTTGAATTCTCGGGGTGTCCACGTGGGGGCTTTTGGCTGTAATTGTTGGAGCGAAGTCCGCCCCCTCCCCCTCCTCTCTCTCTCTCTCTGAGATTGCAATGAGGGCTAAAAGCCACCGGCGGTCGGTGTGCATTTGCTGGCCGTCTGTCACGGAGAGGCAACGCGTTCCACTCTCGTCCCAACAAGCACACATAAATAACTGAGCTCAGTCTTGGTACAAAGAAATATAGCTTTTTTTTTTAAACCGTCGCAAATGTAATGGCGCAGCTCTGCAATGACTTTTTTTCTTGCACACAGTCAGTAACGACATCATTATTATTATATAAGTTGTAAAGGACTTTGGCGATGCGGTTCATTCGAAACCAGTACGGAACGTTGTTCTGCGGAATTAAATTGACAGCGCCACAACCGTAGAGTCTTCTTGAACGAAAACCCCTTCAGACAACAACGGTGAGTGCATTGATTGTATTGAAACGTGTTCATAGATTTTCATTTTGATTTGAAGCTTTCGTGACTGCAGGAATCCATACTCGTTGGTCTCTTTCGGTAAAGTCACGTAGGTATCAAATAAAATATAATACCGACGTGACTTTACCGAAAGAATCAAATGGTATGGATTCATAGATTTTATAGGAATATTGGGTACAGGACTATATAACAATTATTATGGATAGGTGGTCGCTTGTACTGTGATGGTAGTGCCTTACTCCAATGCTCAAATCTCTACTTAAGGCGAGCCAGCGGTCTGGGAATGATCGAGTGTGAAATGAAGCCACGATTACAGATATGGAAACACGGAATGATAACGGTGCATATTTAATAACGTTTTGGCGGTATTTGTTTATATTTACGCCGTCTTCATCTGGAATGTCTGGATGGTCTAACCGCGTTATCCGGATTATAAGACGCTCACCCCACTCCCCTGTATTTTAAAACTAAAAGTTGGGGCGTGCGTCTTAAATCTGGGCTGTGTGTATGTCGCCTACCTTTGTGGGGCGCGGTAGTGAAGCCGATGTTTACACACCGCACCAGGTACTCATTTGAGGCTGAGCCGACCTAAGGGAGGCTCAGGACCGGTTCAAATAATCGTCACTGGGTGTTGGTTGCCACGAGCGGGAATCGAACTCGGGTTGCCGGCATTCGTAGTGTCAAGTCATTGCGACACCACTTCACCCCGAATGAGACGGCGGTGATATGATTTCACGAGCTGAAATAAGATGAATATCGTGTGTGTAGTATACAGTATATGTGAATAATAATAATGATGTGTGTAAGAGGAGCGGTGGTGCATTGGTTCATGCACTGCGCTAGGAACCCGGCGACCAGAATTCGAATCCCGGCCACGGCTAACATCCGTCGCGAGTGGCGTCTGAACGGGTGCTGATGGTCGTCTCCACATCCAATGCGAATGATCGCGTAAAACCACACAGATGGCTTAGAATCGGAACTTCATTTTTCACGGAACGTTTTCCCCGAGGCCTTCCAAACCCCCGTCGGGCAGTGCAATGACGAAGTGCCGTGAGTGAACGTTCTCTGAACGTGTGTAAACGTGTACGTGCGTGAAGGAGGGAGGTGAGGAGTCCCAGAGTTCTTCTTATTCATCCGTACGGCTGCTGATGTCGATGCAGAGCAACGACTTCAATTTCACATTGAGGCGGCCAAGCCAGCAGACAACCGAGCCAGGAGCAGTAGCGGCGTAGCGCATCATCATCATGATCATCATGATCATCATCGATGTGATGTCTCCTTCGTATTTCTGGATCGAGGCATTGCGTCGTTACGCGTTGCACGGTCTGTCCTGGATGACCGCAGTGGCACACCGCTGGATAGTTTGTTTGTTTTTATTTTCCATTTGTGCATCAGGTATCCGCGGCTGCCATGATTCGTACAGATGCGGTTTAGGGTCGACCACGAACTTCGTGGAAGTTCCAGAGTTGAATAGCGTGGAGATGTGGAGATGATAATGGGACGCGACTGGCACGTCGAGATGAGGCGAGATGAGAGGACACGATTGAGTGACAGTGGCGGCCGTGACTTGGCCCAGCGGGAGCGCGTTTGCCGCTTGGTGCAAAGGTCCGCGGTTCGAATCCATGGGCCGTCCTGGTTAATAGCCGCCGGTCGCTTCCCAGTGAAAGTTAAAGCTCCCTTGACGTGATGATTGGTTTTTTACCCTTCTATCTGGCAACAAAACTGACACCTTTTTACAAGGAGTCATGTTTGTATAGACCGCAATACCTGCAGTCATAATACAAACAAAAGACATCAGAGTTATGTCTTTTGTTTGTATTATGACTGCAGGTATTGCGGTCTATACAAACATGACTCCTTGTAAAAAGGTGTCAGTTCTGTTGCCAGATAGAAGGGTAAAAAAACAATTATCATATTTTTACTGGCAAATGAGGTTCCCATACTCCCTTGACGTTGTTCGACAAAGAGTCGGCTACGTGTGCCGGTGTCGTGATCCAAATGTGAAGATATAAATTGGTAAAATCTCGTAAGCAACATCACCACCGCCTTACTGACAGACTACACCTATCTGCACAACTTTTCGCCTTCGTGATAGCCTCCTTGCGCTGCGAGAATTAAGATGTGAGCGAATGCCAAATGTACTCAATTATCATGATCATTAAATTTGCGAGACTTCAGAAAATCACGAGCATCGGTAGCAGCGGTAGAAGAGGCAACTGAGACGGTACGAGAGGCAATGGAGGCAGCCTGCAGGTCATCAATATGCCGAACAGCTGTTAAAAAAATAGACCACACACTTGCCAATAACGCAATGGCCTTAAAAGTAAAAAAAAAACATAATAGGTGACGTTTTGATCAACGACTCTTTCCATCATAGCACGTAAATGAAGACCGCCAGTAGAGAGAACAGAGTGGACAATAAGAGTTGGAGACCGCACTTTACACCATGTATGTGCTGGATGTTGAACTTTTTTCGCACCGTACGTAGCCACCCGTGATAATCGGGAGATGCGGGGGAATGACATCAAACTAAACACAAAAAAGCAGTTTTAACAACAAAATGCGTGCATAGCTCCAGTGGCTTCCTAACATCGGAAGAGCGTTCCAGACGGTCGTAGAAGTAACTCATCTGAGAGCGCCGCGCGACGACTTTGATGATGATGATGATGATGATTCGGTGACCGCCGTCTTTGTTAGATGAGCAGACAAACGCCGCCGCCGCAAGGATGACCGTGGGGGAGGCACGATGAGAATCACATGAAAACATTTGTCTTCCTACGTGCAGTTTATTTTTTAAGTGGCACATGACTGCAGTAGTTAGTTAGTTACTTAATAGTAGCGGGTGGGATTCTACCTCCAAGTTCTGATGATGACTTTGATCTCCACCCCAGATGTGGATCCTTGAACCAGGGACGATTGCTCTGTGCGAGAACTTCTCTCCCACGAAGACGGCAACAGCAGCAGCAGCAGCAACAATTCCAAGCGGAGCGTAATTTCAGATGGAGCTGTACAGGGCTGAGCTCTGGAAAATAGTGTGGGGGGGGGGGGGGTGAGGGAGCTTCGGAAAAAAATCCGTGAGCAATTAAGTCCTGATTAATTAGAAGCCAGCTGCGGCTAATTGTTATCATTCATATCCAAGGCAACGTCGCGTTGTGCTTTATAATTTTACAGCACGTCTGTCAATCCATTGCTGGATTGCGACCTCCACACATCGTGTGAGTCCTGGGGGTTTGACCATACTTCACCACGCTGGTCAGTGCAGGTTGGTGAACAGGGAGGAGGGGAGTCGTAGTCGGGGATTGAACTCAGGATGCTAGCATAGCTTTTATTTATAGATATATAATTATACCAGAATCAGAATATGTATTTATACTGGAAGAATCCGATTAGCTATAAAGTTATTTTTCACAGATGCCCAGTAGTATATATATGGAGAGATAGTACATAGACCACAATATTGAATGTCGATGCCATATATCCGTGCGCGTGTCTTTTATTTTGCCTTGTGTTGGAGACTGTACAGGGCGATCAACGCGTAGATACCCCACTAAAATAACAGGGAGAAATAGCGACTGTAACACGTTGTCTCAAAGTCTCTACACGTATTCCACCCATCTCAATGCACTTTAATTAAATCCTTTATCACTCTCCTCTGCACGATATGGGAGCCATCGCATTCACGATATTCACTCAGCCGTTGAGAGCAAAAAGATGGGTGGTTATAAATCAGAGCGGGGGTATCTTTAAATGTATGTTCAGCATAGAGTACCGTCGATATTAACGAGGACGTGTACAAGAAATAAGCAGAGCAGCTGAACACAAAAACCGTAACGTTTATTAAATCCTCCCTGCCACGATCTCTGTTCAACCAGCAGTCGTAAACACGTGGGAACACCACAACACGTCCGGCAGGCCAAAAAACACACCCTTGTCCAAACAGAGCCCTCGCTCTCTCTCCGTCGAGCTCCGTGGTGCGTTGACTTTGAGGCCCTTCCGCCAACAGGGGCTCTGGCGTGCGATTGCAGGGCTGCGCCTTGGTCTGTTCCAACCGGAGGTGCACGCGGGTTCCGTGGAGCGGTGAGCACCGCGCTACGAACTCGGCGACCCGGGTTCCATTCCCGCTCGCGGTCAACGCCGGTGACGGTGATCTGAACCGGTCCCGGGTCTCCCCTAGGTCGGCTCAGCCTCAAATTTGGTTACCCGGTGCGGTGCGTAAACATCGCCACTGGGGAGACAAAGGCGGCCGGGCGTGGTGTTGGCCATCCAACACCCTCGTGTGCTGTGCCGGCCTTCGTAGGCGCTGCTCGCTAAAAGCGCTTGCTCCAATAGTCTGCTGCGGCTATGCGGGGGGGCCTTTGTCTTTGTGACTAAGTGCAGTCGGTCACTCGTAACGCCTGGGTAAGGTGGCTTTGCAAATGACGGCGATTATGGCATTCCAACCGAAAAATAGGGTGTCATTTCTCATTAATAGCATTTCCAAACCGCAGACGTTCTCATTTTATATTACACTAGCGGGAACTACCCGTCGTTGCCCGGGCGAAAAATAGATTTCAAAACCTCTCTTAAAAACATTACATCTACATACACAGATACTAAGCTATTGTGAAAGCGCGGTGGGCCCTTTGTCCATTTCTCCACCAACAAAATTACAAGAGGCTTGCAGGAGTCCAAAAAGTGATAGGAAGTGGGGGGTAAATAGTTGATCTAAAAGGTTTCCGAAAATTGTCGACCCACCCCCCTCAATTTTTTTTTGTTTACCCCCACGTAGGTATATATACCTACACACCCTACATACAACAGAGTAAGTAGTATCTATTGACTCTGTAGTTGTATCTACTGACTGTACAGTAGTATCTACTGAGCCAGTAGTAGCTAATGGCTGTATAGTAGTATTTACTCACCGTAGTGGTATATACTGACTGTTTTAGTATCTACTAACTCTATAGTAGTATCTACCAACTCGATAGCAGTATCTACTATCACTGCAACAGTGCATACTGACTGTGGTGGTACCTGCTATTACTACAGCAGTGCCTACTGACTGTGGTGGTACCTGCTTTCACTGCGGTAGTACATGCTGACTCTATAGCAGTATATATCGACTCTATAGCACAAACTACTAACTTGACAGAGTGCCTACTAACTTGAGGCCTAGTCCCGTGCAGAGCCTCCGGCCTCGCCTAGATTGCCCAGCCGGCGGAGGTGGCATCTTGGCAGGCCGGGCCGCTACACCCCCCTCCCCCCCCACCATCTCCCTGCCCGCTCTACAATAATAGTAGCTAAGCGCTATAATATTAGTATCTACCGACCCTATAGTAGTAAGTGCACACATTGGGGTGGGGACAAGAGGACATGACACTTCGAAGCATTTACCTCAGCATTGTTTATTTTTTTGCATTTTTAACGCGAAAGAGAATTCCCCCTCCTCTCCCAACGGACACGTGTGCGTTGTTAGGCGCAACCACCGGTCAGCTTTGTCGCGCATGGGTGCTTTGGCGTGCACTGAGTGGCGTAAGGAAATCAATAAATAATAATAAATAGCACTAAATTGTTAATTTAACTACTTTAAAGTTGACGGATGGGAAAATGGAAGAGTGCTGGCTCGCCATAGGGCTTATGGCGTGGTACCTGGGTACTTATTTTAAAATGTAAACCCCACGGTTTGCAAGCCAAATCCTTCGCAAGTTTCTTACACAGACAGACAGACAGGCACACAGACAGACAGACAAAAAATAACATTTATAGGTAAGATAGATGTTAAACTGCATCGTATGTCTGTGTTACTCCGTGTGGTGGTGGAGGTGGGGGAGGTAGCGTAGTGGTTAGCATGCCGCGCAAAGAACCCGGCAACTCCGGTTGGATTCCCACTCCCATGGCAAGATCAGTGGCGAATATCCGAACCAGGACCACTCCCAGCTCCACTTTGCCTTCAGCTAGTGCCCGATATAGTCAGTGCCTGAATGAAGCTATTGTGGAGCCTGTAGCAGATGTTATAAAGGGGCCCTAAATAAAAACAAACATACATATTAAAACAAGCATTTTTAACTTGCATAGTAAAGTAATTGTATTTTTTCATTTGCTATACAGCCAGTTAATTCGACAAACCGCTAACCTTAAACACCCAGTCGTTCGTAAAAGTTGAAGGCAGTATAGTACTATAGTAATTGAGCAAGTGCAGAATCACTGAACAGGAATTGATAGCTTGAAAGCATTTAGCGCGGAGCCCTTGAAAGTGCGGGGCCCGTAGCTACATATGTAGCTACTTTTGCTACTAGGATCATCCGGCACTTGGTGTAGTGTGCAAACATCGACCCTGGGGAAGACAGTTCAACATGTTTCGAACGCTCCATTTGTTCCTTGATCCACGTGCTCCTGCTCATGTCTCTCGGTGATTCCAAGATGCATTGCTCCATGCTCAGCTTTTGTTCAATTCTCCTTTGTCATTGCGGATATTTCCAATGCACAGCAGGTAATATAAACTGATTGAAAACGTCCTTCTTTAGGTATATTGGAATGTGGCTTCTCATTATCAAATTACATTTTATATCAGCACTCCATTCTGCCCTCACCTTGCCTTTCGTTTTCATCATCGTGATCACGGTCTGCCTTCAATAATTTTCCTGCATATGCAGTCTCCGCTGCATATTCCATTTGTGTCTGCCCAGAGAATATCGATTCTGTTTATCCAACTCGTGCAAAACTTTTCCTTTTGTTCGCATTGATCTCCATCCTCCGCCCTTCTTGTTGAGTGAGCTCTTCAATCATTTCCTCTATTTCCTTTCCATTGGTTCATTACAATACGACCGCATTGACTCACGTGCAATGTTTCTTTCTTCCACATTTTCCCAACCGGATGGCAGACATCTCGCGCCACCAACTACGGCGGCGCCCGTGAACACCTGAACATCGGAAATAGCGGCGGTCCGTCAATGCAAATGTGTGTTTAGTTCTTATTTGTGGTCCGAGGGTGTAACAAAAAAAAAAGGCCAGTGAAATCTCTCGAAGTACGAAGCAGAAAGAACGCGGAGACAACTGTGGTGGCATTTTCACGCGGGAGAATCAACTGCGAGCGCGTCTGTGGTGACAAACGGAAACCTGGACCGCAGCGGTCTGAGCCAGAGGCTAAGCGCCAGCAGACTAGATGGCAACGACCGGGCTCTCCTGTAGAGAACAACATCAAGTCCCAATCTTCTGCCGGCGAGGTAACGATGACAGCTTACTTTGGAATGAACAGCGACCAATGAACATTTGTCCACCGGGAAAATCCGACGGACTGTCAACCGGCGCTTTGTACTGTCACTTACCGAAGAGCAAAGTGAAGGGTGACATTCGTCAGTGATGCCGTGGACTCTTGAGAAACGGAGTGGAGTCTCGGCAGGGCATATCCACACTCTGCGCACGCAGCGATGTAATTGCTATGAAGACTTAGATGGGAAGTTTGCACGACATCCGGCACAGAGCCCAGATCTAGCCCCTTGGGAATCTCATCTTGTTAGGAGCTGTGAAAGAAGCTCTACCTGGAAGCGGGTTTGACGGGAGAAGAGAATGTGAAAGCAGTGTTTGCAGTCATGACTTTGGGACCATCAGGAAGCGTGTGGGCCTCTGGTAGAAATGTATTTCAGAAGAGGGTGCAATCAAAGGTTCAGTTAAAATTAATGTATTTCCTTTATTAAAACACCATCTTGTATATCGGTACGAGTAAGCAAACAGGAGCTATGAAAATCAGCTACGCTCTCAACCACACTTCCTCCAGCCTGGGCTTCACCCTGGGATACATTGACACAGTAGCAGCAGCAGCAGCCACTCAAAGCACCAACATCTCCCACCACCACCACCATCAGCCCGGGCCATCGCTGCTCTACCAGACCGCGACCTCCTCGGCGCTGGGCGCCCTCATCGCCTGCTCCATCGCGGGCAACGCCTTCGTGCTCGCCGCCATCTACCTGGAGCGCTCCCTGCAGACCGTGGCCAACTACCTGATCGGCTCCCTGGCCGTCACGGACCTGCTGGTGTCCGTGCTCGTGCTGCCCGTGGCCGCGCTCTACCAGGTGCTGGGCCGCTGGACCTTGGGCCAGGCCGTGTGCGACGCCTTCATCGCGCTCGACGTCCTGTGCTGCACCTCCTCCATCTTGCACCTGTGCGCCATCGCGCTCGACCGCTACTGGGCCATCACGGACTCTGTGGACTACATGAACAAGAGGACGCCCCGCCGAGCGGCGCTCATGATCGCCATCACCTGGGTCGTGGGATTCTCCATCTCCATCCCGCCCATGTTGGGATGGAGGCAGGCGGAGGACAGGGCCGACCCGGACGCCTGCAACATCAGCCAGCACCTGGGCTACACGATCTACTCCACATTCGGCGCCTTCTACATCCCGCTGGTGCTCATGCTGGTGCTGTACGGGAAGATCTTCAGCGCGGCCAGGTTCAGAATTCGGAAGAACGTTGCGTTTAAGTCGGCGTCGCACACGGACAACGGCTCTGCCGATGGCCCCATCGCTGTGACGGCTCGCAGCTCCGAGCCAACGACTCTGCTGATTGTCGCACAGGTGTCGGAAGAACGGACGAGCGACGGGCCAGAGGGTTTGCTTCTGCCCATTGTCATCAGGGATAGGGAGGAGACAGACGGTGATGGTGGTGGTGGCGGCGGCGGGAGGGTCGGCCAGGAACGGAAACGCAGCCACGATCAGCATCATCAGCACCATCATCAGCACCATCATCATCATCATGACAGTCACACCCAACAGTGCGGTCATGAGCACAGAGATAGTCAGCAGTCTCATCACGGACATCATCGTCACCATCATCAGCATCATCACCACCATCGTCACCATCAACATCATCTCCACCGCAGCAGTCAACGACCAGAACAGCAGCATCTTCAGCAGCAGCAGCAGGAGCAGAATTCTTCGGACCAGCAGCAACAAAGTCATGGTCATCAACATCAGCAGAAATCTCATCACCAGCATCGTCAACATAAATCTCAGAGTAATCATTGCCATGTGCAGCAGCAGCAGCAAGAGCAGAAACAGCAGCAGCTAGATCAGCAACATCATCACCATCATCGTCGTCATCATCATCATCATCGCCGCCAGCAACATCATGATGATGATGATCATCAGCAGCCTCAAGATCATCAGCAGCATAAACATCAGCAGAAGACTGGTGACCGTGATCAGAAACAGCATCGTGGTCATCACAGTTGTCATCATCATCAGCATCATGAGCATGAGCAGCTACAACTGCAATCTGCAGACAATCGGCAGCAATCAGCTGATCATCATCAGCAGCAACATAAGCAATCTACAAACAATAATGATGATGATGCCGATCAGCAGTATCGTCATCAGCAGCAGCAATCTACAGAAACTCAACAACAGAAATCTACAGCGCATGAGGGGCAGCAACAGAACCCGAATCAGCAGCAACAGGTGCATGAAGAGCAACCTGCAGATCAGCAGCAGCAACAGCAGCAACAGCAGCAACAACGACCTGCAGACGAACCTCACCACCACCAACAACAGCAGCAGCAACAACAGCAACTCGAGAACAACCAACAGCCTCCCGACCACCAGAAAACACTCGGTCCATCGCAGGACCTCCAAGCCAAGCAGGTGATGGACCGCGCCCAGATGCACCGGATGAGAAGCGCCATGGCACGAGAGCGCAAGGCGGTGAAGACGCTGGGCATCATCATGGGCTCGTTCGTGCTGTGTTGGCTGCCCTTCTTCGTCGTGGCGCTGGTGGTGCCGTTCTGCGGACCGTTCTGCGAGCTGCCCCCGATCCTCATGGCCCTCATCACGTGGCTCGGCTACTCCAACTCCCTGCTCAACCCCGTCATCTACGCCTACTTCAATCGGGACTTCCAGAACGCCTTCAAGAAGATCGCCAGGTGCCGGTGCTGCAGAGGGAGGTATTGAGGTGGTCTGGGGTGGCTGTGGCTGCGACCTGTCCCGGTTTGAATTAGAATGTGTATTTTTACTGGGGGAATCTGATGAGCTGTAAGGCTTTTTTTCACAGATGTCCAGTAGTTTCACAGATGAATACCTGTCAACCCCTCATCAGTGCCGACCTTATTACAGACCAGTTCATCAAGTCACAGGGTCACTGTGTGTGTATTGCTACCACTGATGTGCTAACATTAGAATTGCTTTGAACTTTTGATTTCGCTTTACAATTCACAATCGCATTTATAAACCAGAATGTAAATCACCAAGGTGAATAAACATGGAATGTTTGGCAACATCCGGGCATGGCTGGTGGTAAAACATTCAAGAGAAGGATTTAAATTCACAAGGAGGGATCCTCCGAAACTATAATAGTCTCAGCCCCCCCCCCCCCCCTCAAACTTAATCCGGCCTTGGGAACACAGTGAGTGGTTCTGGGATCAGAGCTCCGTGCTCTAACCCCTGGGAGTCTGGGTTTGAATCTGGGTTCGAATCCGGCCTCTCAGCCACGCGTGATTAAGCCAGGTTATCAAGTCCACCAATGACTGCAGGAAAAAACAAAACTCCATTGTATTCAATTAAAATCTTTACGAAATTTCATGTCTGAGCATTAAACAAAGTGAAGATCCCCCGTATAGCCTTAACATAATTTAGGGACAAGTGCTGTTAACGAGCACCTATGAAGGCCGGCACGGCACACGAAGAGATGGGTGACCAGCACCACGCCCAGTCACATTTGTTTTCCCAGTGGCTATGTTTACACATTGGACCAGGTACTCATTTGAGGCCGAGTCGAACTAGGGGAGGCTGGTGTTGGTCGTGAGCCGGAATCGAACTCGCCGCACTGCCCGCTCCGTGCGCAACTATTTTGGGGCATTTGTAGAATAGTGGTGGATAAATAAGACTCTTGACGTGAATGCAGCAGTAGTTCTGTGACTTGGCATCAACTTCCAGGGCCGTGATGGACTTGTGGCTGCCAGACTTCGAGATGTTAACGTCTTAGCTCACGCAATCCGTGATGGCGATGGCACAAGTGGGGTACAGTGTGAGTATCGGGGGTTAGGGTGGGGGGGGGGAAACAACGACATCAAAATGAGATGGTCATTCCAGTGACACGGGGCGAGCCCTGGGATTTGAATCTCGGTTGAAGTCACTCATTACCTGAAGTCTCCTGGAGGTGATGGTCTTGGCCCAGTCAGCGGCGACTCAAGGCAAAGCACCCTTCTCCATTGGTGTCCTTAAGCCAGTATTGGAAATTCCACGTTACTATGGTTGAGCCCAGTCTGTCCACAAGACGAGAATTGTCTAAGACTTCGAAACTAAAAATACTGCTGACATTCTAGCTTCTCGAGTGTTGAGAGTTGATGATCTCGGTCAGCCTGGTTACGAGTTACTGCACAAAACAATTCAAAAATATGTTTTTCATACTCTTTGGTTCTTTCGGTAAAATCACGTAGGTAGAAATAAAATACAATTTAAAAAATCACGACGTTTTAATCGCAACATAAGCAATCTTCATCAAGTGGAACAACCACAGCAAGAAATTGCTGAAGTAGGCCTGAATTAGGCCTGAAGTAGGCCTAGTTCAAGCCTACTTCAGCAATTTCTTGCTGTGGTTGTTCCACCTGATGAAGATTGCTTATGTTGCGATCGAAACGTCGTGATTTGTTTCATTTCATTTTATTTCTACCTACGTAACTTTACCGAAAGAACCAAAGAGTATGGACTCCTGCAGTCACGAAAGCTTCAAATCAAGATCTGTGTTTCACTTAAATACCCCTACCCCAGATGTAACTCCGAAACATTTATAAGCATGTGGGAAGCCTGGTAGGACTGGTAGGTTAACGAGCACCACAGAGTCATACACAGTGCTACCGTCTATGCAGTGCCGGATTAAGCTAGTGCGGGACCTGTAGCATTCGTTATAAAGGGGCCCTAAATAAAACATACATGAATATTAAAACACACATTTTTAACTTGCATAGTGAAGTAACTGTATTTTTTCATTTGCTAAAGAGCGAGATAATACGACAAATCGCTAACCTTAAACACCCAATCGTTCATAAAAAGTTGAGGGCAGTATAGTACTATAGTAATAAAGCAAGTGTAGAATCACTGAAAGTGCGGGGCCCGTAGCATCTGTAGCTACTTTTGCTACGAGGATAATCCGGCACTGCATCTATGCGAACCACTCAATAACAATGCCCGATCCCTTCTTTACGTCACACACATGTGAAAACCTGGGACCTTGTATTTACCCTTCCTGGAAATAAAACAGAAGGTGTTAAGATGTTCAAACACCAAATAGAAAAATGCTGCAAGGAATCACGTCTGCATTAACCACACGTACTTGTGGTGAACATGAAAACAAACACGCTCTGATTATATATGCATTGTCTTTGGAATTTATTGGCCTACACCAGTTTTATTGCCAGAAAGGGTAAAACTTATTCTTATTTTTTCATACTTTTATACTGGCAAAAAAGGTCCCATGTTGTCGCTGCTCATCCCGAGCTATGCATGCTCTGATAGTGGCAATGTCTTTGTGTTGTTCACCTTTTCGCGTCCTCTGGTATGACACTGGTGAGACTAGGCCCTAAAGAAAGCTGTCTCTGTTGTGGACCAGTCAGTTTCAAAGACAAGGCATTATATACTATAGTCTTTGGTTATTTCGGTAAAGTCACGTAGGTATAAAATAAAATAAATCACGACGTTTCGGGTGCAACACGAGTGTCCGTCATCAGGTGGGAAAGCATGGTCTGCTGCTGAGGCAGGTTGTTTTAAAAAGGTTTGAAATGGGTGTAGCCCAAGGGTTATAAAGAAGTGTTAATGTGAGAAATTAGCATGTAACTGTAAGATAGAAGAGTGGCCTCCTCAACGAGGGCACGGAAGTGGCTATGTTAATGTGAGGGATTAGCATGATGTTAATGTGAGAAATTAGAGGGCACGGAAGTGGCTATGTTAATGTGAGGGATTAGCATGATGTTAATGTGAGAAATTAGAAGGCACGGAAATGGCTATGTTAATGTGAGGGATTAGCATGATGTTAATGTGAGAAATTAGAGGGCACGGAAGTGGCTATGTTAATGCGAGAGATTAGCATGATGTTAATGTGAGAAATTAGAGGGCACGGAAGTGGCTATGTTAATGCGAGAGATTAGCATGATGTTAATGTGAGAAATTAGAGGGCACGGAAGTGGCTATGTTAATGCGAGAGATTAGCATGATGTTAATGTGAGAAATTAGAGGGCACGGAAGTGGCTATGTTAATGTGAGAGATTAGCATGATGTTAATGTGAGGGATTAGAGGGCACGGAAGTGGCTATGTTAATGTGAGAGATTAGCATTAACATAGCCACTTCCGTGCCCTTGTTGAGGAGGCCGCTCTTCTTTCTTACAGTTACATGCTAATTTCTAACATTAACGTCACTAGCCCCGGCCACTTCTTTATGACCCTTGGGCTACACCCATTTCAAACCTTTTAAAACAGCTTGCGTCAGCAGCAGACCATGCTTTCCCACCTGATGACGGACGCTTGTGTTGAAACCAGAAACGTTGTGATTTATTTTATTTTATACCTACGTGACTTTACCAAAAGAACCAAAGATTATGGATTCCTGCAGTCACGAAAGCTTCAAATCAAGATTGCATTATATACTATCAGAGCATGTCTGTTTGCTTGTTCACCGCAAGTCCGTGTGGTGAATGCAGTACTTGATTACTCGCAAAATGTTTCTATTTGGTGTTTGAACATCTCAACACAACTCCAGTTTTATCGCCAGAAAGGGTAAAACATTATTTTTCGATTAAAGCTTTCGTGACTGCAGGGATTCATCTTCTTGGTTCTTTCGGTAAAGTCACGTAGAAGGGAAGTAACCAGGTTGACAGGTCGACAGACCTGGTTTTCACCTGAGGACGGCTGCTTGCGTTGTGGCCGAAACGTCGTGAGAATTATTTTATTTTATTATGTTTTATTTTTATTATTTTATTACTTCCCTTCTACGTGACTTTACCGAAAGAACCAAGAAGATGATCTTATTTTGTAATAATGTGAACATCTGTGTGTGTGTGCCCCCTGGTTGGGAACAACATCGTTCCCTTCGGCGGCGGCGACGTCTTTAATGTTTCCTTTGAACCGAGGGCGTTTCGCAGGGATGCCGACGTGATGGGCTGATGGGGGAAACTCCCCGTGGACTGGCCTAGAGAGGGAGTGGTGCTACAGCAGAGGGTCGACTGTTCAGTGAAAACTACGGTCACACGTACCGGTAACTCTCAAGAAGGGGCACTGCAGGAGGTGAACATTTACCCCCTTCTCAGGAGCGTAACGAGTGTGGGGGGCAGGCAGGGGGTGCCTTGCCCCCCCCCTCCGCCTGATGTACAAAGCTACGAGTTGGGGGGGGCCCCCTCGGCAACCACCACTATGACATTTGTTTTCAGCAACAGTATCAAAGAACAACAAACTGATTTAAAACGCGGTTTAATGCATTGTTGTTAAAATGCTTTCATTTACGTTTCACGTTTTATATGAATGTACAGTAATTAGAGTGGTAACGTAACATTGCAAAGAGGCACTACTACGGAGCTGGTAGTGGCTGCATTTTGCGATGACGAAGCGCCCCCTACAGCGTTAAATGTTCGAGACCGTGAGCGTGTTGATGCGATTAGGCCGTGATATAGAATAGCCGAGGTGCGACCGTGCGAGACAAATCAAATATCGGGGCTCCACCTAACCGATTGCAATAGCACCCGAGCTGATAATGTAGCTACGACGCCACTGTCCAGACTGACCGACTAATTGCCCACTTGGCAGGACAGTGCTATGTCACCTTGGTGCCATACAGGGACAGCTGTCGTCGAAAAGAAAACTGCATCTGAGCACTGGATGTTGGGGCATTTAAGCCACCTATTGAATGCCAATTCTCAACCTTGACCATCATGTTTTACAAATATTTTAAATCCGCTTGTATTTGTGTGTTGATGGAAACGTGGAGAAGGTCGCACTCATCCCGAACTGCCTGCCAGTGCCTTCCACGTGTCTCCACAGCTCGGGACTCGCTCGTGGGGGAAAGTGATTTCCTCTCGTGCTGATGAAGCGACGTGAGATGTGAGTGGTTTTGAGGAGCGAGGCGAAGAGTTCTTCTGGCCAGGGATTAAATCCTTGTGGCATTGATGATTATGATGATGATGGGGGTGATGATGATGGTGAGGATGATGGACCATATGCAATGCATTTCAAGTGGTCTGTGCAGAGAAATAATACAGATTCACCAAGGCCCACTCACTGCTTTTTGTATAAGGACAAATTATTTCCCATCAGCGAAAAACATATATACGTACAATATACAAAAAGTAAAATAATCCACTATACATAGTGCTGTTTTTGTTTACTGGATATTTCTATCAGTAATTTTAATAGGTTTAGGGCTAATGTTGTTTAGCAATATTTTATCTGTCAAACATTAATGCACTTAACCTATACCGTGATGCGATATGTGTGGTGGCATAAACATTTCTAATTTTAAAACCTTTTAGGTGCCCGTTTGTCAACCTTGTGGCCGACATTGATGCGTGCATATGCTGTCTATGTGCTAATGTACATTGATGCGTTACGAAGATTGCTTTTCAAATCAAACGCAGTGTTGTTGATTGTATTTTGGAGTGTGTGTGCAATCGTGTTGGGATCGGCAGCACAGTGGTTAGCGCACTGCACTACGAACCCGGCTATGCGAGTTCTAATCCCCGCTCACGGCCAACATTTGTGGAGGAAATCCGAACCGGTCTTAGACTTGCACTGAGTCGACTCAGCCTTCAATGAGTACCTTGTGCGGTGTATAAACATCAGCACTGGGGAGACAAAGACGCCTGGGTATGGTGTTGGCCACCCATCCCATCGTGCGCCTTCTGGCCTTCATAGGTGCTTGTTAACAGCACTTGCCCCAGCAACTTGTGTAGGCTATACAGGGTGTCTTTATCTTTGTTTTAGGTGCTGACACAAGCATCTGGGTTATGTAATATTATTGGTTCTTTCGGTAAAGTCACGTAGAGGGGAAATAATACAATAAAAAAAATATATATATTTTTTATATTATATTATTTTTTAATGTTTTATTTTTATTATTTTATTATTTACCTTCTACGTGACTTTACCGAAAGAACCAAGAAGATGAATCCCTGCAGTCACGAAAGCTTTAAATCGAAATCTGGGTAATGCCCCACGACCTGCCTGCAAGACCACTCCAGGTGGTGTCAAATTGCACCTAACCTGGCACAAGCACTGTACTAGCAATGCCACCACTCGGCGGCTGTGTGTGTGTTTGTTGCAACAACTGTTGGAACAAGCTGTTAGTGAACACCTATTAAGGCCAAGGAATGGATTAGCACACTGCACTGCACTCATAGAAACCCGGGTTTGAACCCAGTCACAGTGCGTATGGTTGATGAATTTTAACGTGCGCAAGTTCTGCACTCAAAAATGT